GTTTTGCTCCTCAGCATGGCTTCATAAAAACACTGCAGGATTTCTCAAACATGCATGAATGAGTCAAGGCAAGGCTTTGGGCATGTTTTTATAAGAGTATAACATTATAACATGATATAAAACTCAAAAATTGATTTTACATGATATTGCCCCAGCCCTCTGTTTGTTCTGTGAGGCTACAGTATATACTCTGACTGTCCTTGTGGGTCACRGTTTTCATCTAAGAGACAATTCCCACAATTCTTGGTGTTTCTCGTCTGTGCTCATTAAATCTATCCGTACATGTCACTTATACTRCATTCAGCAATTGTGGAAGCGGGAGAGTTTTTCATGCAAATTTATACACAACTCATAAAAAGTTAGGGATATTTGGCTTTTATGAAATGTGAATTTTATGGAAAATGTAAAAAGTTCACGCTACAGTGATATTATATCATGAAAGTAGGACATTTAAGTAAAAGAATGCACTGGTGATTTCCTCATCTCAATCAATTTATTGAAACAAAAGTTAACAACAATGGTGGGTACACCACAACAAAACATTTCAACGTCTCAATAACTCATCATGTGCCCTAGAGCATTAGTTACAGCTTGACAACGACATCTCATGCTGTTCACAAGTCGACTTATTGCCTGTTGGGGCATGGTTTCCCACTGTTCTAGAAGGGCAGCCCTCAGGTCATTGAGTTTCTGCGGTGCAGAGTTTTGAACCTCTACAAGGCGACTCAGCTGACCCCACAGGTTTTCAATGGGATTCAGGTCTGGAGAAAGTGCAGGCCGTTCCATTTGAGGTACACCAGTCTCCAACAGCCGTTCCCTGATGATACGACCTCGATGAGCTGGAGCATTGTCGTCCATGAAGATGAAATCAGGCCTGTGTTGTTCATGTAGGGGCACAATCACTGGATTAATGATGTTATTCAGGTAGTATGGGCTTGTCACTGTACCATTCACAAAGTGTAGGCCAGTTCTGTACTGACTGGAGACACCTGCCCACACTGTAAAACCTCCACCACCAAAAGCTCGTCTGGTGACAACAGTGACTGATGCATAGCGCTCTCCTTGACGTCGCCAGCATCTCTGGCAGCCATCATTTCTGCTCAGCGTGAATCGACTTTCATCAGAGAAWATCACTTAGGCCCACTGGTCCCTCGTTCAGCGTAAATGCTCCCTGGCCCATGMAAGACGATGACGCCTGTGYCTGGTGGTGTGGTCAGGTACCCTTGCAGGTAGTCTAGCACACAGATCACGCTGATGTTAACGGTTTTAAATGCTCTGACGTGACACTTGAGTGCCTCTCACCTCCCTTAACCATGCCTGGTTCACAATGTAGCCGTCATCAGCATGGGATGTGGTCAAAGGACGTCCACCTCTACACCTTTCTGTGACTCTTTCAGTCTCTCTGTATCTCTGTTACAACCTGCTGATGACACTCTGTGACACTCTGAGCTCAGAGGCCACGTCCGTCTGAGAACGAACTGTTTGAAGCATCCCAACGGCAAGGTACTGTTGATCCAATGTTAGGTGTCGTCTTGGTCTCATGATGTCAAAATGTGAACAGCATGATGAGGACGACTTTTTAAACACCAGCTCTAACTGAACCAGGACATTTATTGGTCGATTCAATGATCAAACACCTGCTGTGAATTTTGCCGTTAAGCTCCTCGTTAGAAAACAGCAACTTGTGCAAAAAAGAACTGAAACATTTAACAGTTGGATATGTGCATTGAAAAGCTTAGAGAAGGTCACAGTAAGTTCACCTGTAAAGGTTTGAATGCATTTTAGGCTCGTCYTGAAAATTAACCCAAAAGCCAAATATCCCTAACGTTTTGTGAGTAGAAATAATTCAACTCCTCAAACAGTACTTAATACAAATTAAAGAACKTCAWATTTCTTCAACAATTTTTGTTAATTGTTTTCTTAAAGGAATTCACTGATCCAATGCTTTTATGGTAATTTTCCAGATCATTCCGTAGTCTTATGCCTTTCACTGAAGTGCATCTGTCCTTCAAATTAGTTCTGATTTTYRGTTTAACAAACATTTGTAATCCCTTCAAATTATAGCAGCATCCCTCTTAACAAAATGTGATTGGATGTTTGACGGCAACACATTTCTATGAGCCTTATACATAACCTGCAGATTGTTATAATCAATCAACTCGTGAAATTTTATCAATTTTAATTGATGAAACAATATATTAGAAGGGTGATATTAATGCTTTCTTGTAATGTCTTATGGCTCTTTTTTATAAAATAAAACAAGCATTTGCCCAGACTTCTGTACAATAAATCAAATGTGGAACAATTATTGCATTATATGGTGTAAATAGTCCTTTATCATTAAATAACTCCTTAACTTGATTCAGAACTGCAATAGATTTTCCCATTTTTTTTCTTAAGTAATTTATGAGGTCTCCAGGTCAGTTTTTCGTCAAAGATGACTCCCAGAAACTTCACCTCATTTACTCTACCGATCTCAACACCTCTACTCTAAATGGGACATCAGTTGTTTTCTTTCTACTGATAAATATCATGTAATTTGTTTTATCCAAATTTAATGATAATTTATTATGTTTAAACTAGGAATGTGCGATATGGCAAAAAAATTCATATCACAATATACATTATGATGAGTGGCGGTAACGATATATATCACGATATAAAAC